TCCCCTCCACCATTCACTGGCTTTGTGTCCAAGGGCAGAAGCCCTCGCTGCTCCGAGCCGGCTTCCGTCACGTCAAATGGGGCAAAGGCCCCAGCTCACCCAGAGTGCTGCAGTGGAGAGGGGATGGGGGCCGGCGTGCAAACCAAAGTGACAGCTGCAAAGCACCAGCCCAGGGTAAGGCCCATGTGGCTGTTTAAATCTAAATTAATTAAAATTAAGTAAAATAAAAGATTCAGTTCCTCAGACACACAAGCCACTTGTCAAATGCTCGACAACCACATGTGGCTAATGGCTACCCTAACGGGCAGTGCAGATACAGAACACCTCTGTCCTGGCAGCAAGTCCTACTGGACAGCCTGGAGCTCAAGAACCGTTATGACGACTAAGTGACTGTTGGCTTTCACAAGAATTCTCTGGCCCATAAGTTGCTGCTGGCACCAAGGACAGAACATAGTGGTGGCAGCTGGGAGGTTCCTGTGTGTGCTCGCTCTGTGGGGTACTTTCCACCTGCTCCCACTGCCCTCGCTCAGAGAGGCATGCACGCACACGCGCGCGCACACACATGCACGCGCACAGGCCCAGGGCGAGAAGCCCAACTCAGGCTTGGTCTCAGCCTCCTCCTCACCTCCATAGACACAAGATCATCCCTCCCTTCTTCAAAAAGTTGGGCCTGAATTGGAATGTAGCCTAAAGGACCGAACCACTGAGGCACAAGTTATTGTAGCTGGAATCCAGATTGCTCAGTGAATCAAGCAAGACAGAAATTCATGCTGAAGAGGATGAACCCCAGCAGATCCTAACCTACAATATCCAACTTCTGGGATTAGCATGTGGCCCAACCATGCACGACTCGGCCTGCTGACAGCCAGCTGAGTGGGACCCACAATCCTCAGGGCTGCACCCACAGACTGGGGCGCAGATGCTGTCCCTGCGTGGCTCACCCAGACCAGGAGCAAAGAAACGTTTCCACCACCCACCAGAGCCAGAATGGGAGTCTTTCAAGAGAAATAAAATACCAACCTCTAAGGGTCCTCAGCTCTAACAGGCAAGGATCAGATCAGAATGAGGGGAACATCACCCCAGGAACGTGAGCCGCCTGCTCGCACGGCTTGTGGTCCATCTGTTGAGCTGGACTGCAAACTAAACCCTCCACTGGCCACCCATGACCAGGCCCGTCCAATTCACAGATTAAAGCAAAGGTGTCCAAGAGGAGGACCAAGTCCCGGGGAGTAAAGCGTCATACAGAAAGATGTGGAAGTGATCCCACGGAACTGGCTGCCTAAAAACGCTGGAGCAGACGGCTGCACAACCCAGGGAAGGGGAAAGCCACAAAAAAAGTGACTTCGCCCTCAAACCTGAGCATTCAGTCCAGCACGCCCAGCCCTCTAAACACTCCAGGCCTTTACACGGTGCTGCTGCATCATGTTGTGATCAGAATCAGATCAAGTGCATCTTCACGTGATGGTAAGAACAGGAACTGAGAGCACAAGGCTATCCTCACATTCCAGCAGTCATGGAGAACTCAGGGATGCTCAGGGGCCCTGAAGGAGTGAAGACAAGCAGCCCAACGGGACAGGCGGGACCGTCTGTGAGCTGCTCCAGGTTGGCACCCAAGTGGCAGAACACACAGATACCTGCACTGTGCCTTCCTAGAGGGGCAGGTGTGTCTCAAAGACGCCGACAGGACAAGTAGCAGTCTGTCTCGTGTGCTCGCTGCCAGTGTGCTGAATTCTGGACAAGAATTCAAGTTACAGCTCAGAGTCTCGTGTTCTTCATTACAAACACTGTTGATGCCCTCAATTTAACGGAGCAGAGAAAAATCAACGTGGAAGCAGCTACCACTTTGCTGTTTCTACCCCTCTCCTATCTTAGCCGAGACCAGCATTGTCCTATCGATGGAGCTTTCTGCAGTGATGGACATGTTCTATATTTGCGCTATCCAGTATGGTAGCCACAAGGCACATGTGTCTGCTGAGCACTTGAAATGTGGCTAGTGTGACTGAGAAGCTGAATTTTTCATTTTACTTAATTTTTTTTTTTTTTAAAGATTTTATTTATTTTATTTTTTCCCCCCAAAGCCCCAGTGGATAGTTGTATGTCGTAGCTGCACATCCTTCTAGTTGCTGTATGCGGGACTCGGCCTCAGGATGAACGGAGAAGTGCTGCCTCGATGCGCACCCGGGATCCGAACCCGGGCCACCAGCATCGCAGCGCGCGCACTTAACCACCAAGCCACAGGGCCGGCCCGTTTTACTTAATTTTAATTAATTTCAATTTAATTACTACAGGTGACTAGTGGCTACTGAATTAACACAGCTCTCGACCCAAGAACCATGTAAAGCGAGAATCCACACGCTGTGTGTTCTAAACTAGACCATCATTAACACACAGCTGATGACAGTAATTCTCGTGGACAATCTGGTACCAGGCAGGGCCTTTAAATACAAGGCATGGTTCCGGCTTTGCAGCCGCTGGCAAATCTGGAAAGTTTATCCAAAGCATTGCTCTGCTCCAGCCCCAGCCCCAGCCCCAGGCCCAGCCTCAGCCCCAGCCCCAGCCCCAGCCCCAGCCCCAGCCCCAGCTGAGACAATGTTTCCTTCAGTTTCAACATAAAGCAGATTGCAGCCAGGTGTGTGCAGCACCTCGGGAAAGTGGTGTTACAATGTGGAACTGAGATTTGAGTCAGCACAAATGTGACATGGAACAAAGTCATTTAAGAGAGCCATAAACAGCCTACTTCAGTCATAAGAGCCAATAATATACTCGGGCCTCATCGTCTACGGTTCTGGGCAATCAATTAATCCGGTCTGCCCCACCCGAACAGCCTTCCCACCCACTGAGCAAGAATGGAGGTGCGCCCAGAAATGAGCTAGCTGGCCCTGGGGCTGGTTATGTTTCCATCCTCTGCTCACCATGGGAGGATCTTAGGGAAACGGGGGTCAGAAAAATGACTCCTCCAACAGATCCCAGCTAGGGCCCCCATGGCAAAGGCAAAAAAAGGGGGACCTCCCAGCCACACCAGGTTATCTGGAGGGAGGAGAGATGGTGCCACCCAAACCACAAAACCAGATGCCCCCTTCCTGGCTGACATACCACATCTGCATGTGTGAGCACAGCCTTCAGTTCCAGGCCAAAGGTGGCCACCTGAACCCCTGAGGAAACCAAGCAGGTAACTGCAGTGAGTCAAGCTGTCAGGGGAGGAATGATGAACTAGAGAGCATGTGCCCTGACCAAAAAAATGCGGCCCTACTCAACTTTTCAAGGAGAGTTTTATGTAAAATCTTTCAATTTATAAGCATTGGCAACTAATCTAAATTCTCTGAAAAACTGAGGGTCAACAGTCAAGGACTGGATTCAGCCTATGGGCTGCTGGTTTGCAAACTCAGTTTTGAATTAATGCTTTTCTTGAACCAAGGAGAAAAATCCCCAACATCTAATTTCTTAGATCACTAAGAGCTTAACTTTTGTTGGCATGGCCCTGTATGATGCCTGGGCCTCTCCACTTGGCCTTCCGGTTGTTTTCACCCACTAAGGAGGAATGCCTTTCTCTCTGATACTCAGTTTTCTAAACAGGTTATTTCCTATTACTAAAGAATTGTTTGCATTAAAGAACTCAAAAATGTTTGCTAGTTTTTAAGGCCATCTGGAAACCATCGAGGTCACTTCTTTAACTTCTTTCTATTGCCCAATCTAAGAAACACCAGGTGGGAGTTGGGAAAATAAAAATATCTGCTTGCCATTCACTGTTTTTCCAAGGAAGAGGAAATGCAGAACAGACAGTGTTGGATAACTCTGAGCTCAAGAATAAAATGTAAGCTGAAGGGGTCTATCACAATCACCAAACAGGAGGAATCTTCTGAGCTGGGAAAACCATCTGCAGGCAACAGCAATGAATGTGTGATGGAATCAGTCAAAGAAAAGGAATAATGCAGAATAGTTGAGAGAGAGAGAGAAGAGATGGGTAAAGGGAGAGCGAGAAAGAGAACTGTTCTGTTTAACAATCCTCACCACAAAGACAAAAAGAAGCAAACACAAAACTTTCCTTTCTTGCTGCCCCCTGCTATACCAATCAAGCCATAATACAATGGTCAGGGACAGTTTAATCCGGTGACTCCACCAACACACATCCTTTCCCAAATTTCTAGTGGCTGAACAGCTTCTAGTGGCTTCTACTAGCTGAAATTGCCTTCCAGAAATAAAAACTGTAATTTCAACACGAAAACTACTCCAATCTCATGTTCTAGAAATCAGTTCTCCAAATCGAGACCCACCTTGGAAAAAACGAGTTCCTCACTCCCCACCCAGACCATTCATTGGGAAAGGTCACTTGAAAGGACTTCCAAGGCAAGGGTGGTTGCAGAGAACCCTCAAAAAGTCGCAAGAATCGGCCCTCGAGGAAGCGGCCGGCTCTCGGCCCGGGAGACACAAGTGGGGAAGGTTACGGCTCCCCCTGGTAAACGTGCAGATCGCACGGCCCTTCCCGCGCCCGGCCCGCTCTGTGAAGGCTTCCCCTTCCTTCTCCCTCCCGAGACCCATTCCTCACCACGTCAGCGGCCGCGGCCGAGAGGGCCACGCGCGGGGCCAGGCGAGGCGAAAGCTTCGGACGCCGCTCGGCCCGCGGGCAGCCAGGCGGGTCCCTGGGGCCTGCGCGGGGCG